CCACTGAGCCTCAGTTTATCCTATCTCTTTGGGTTCAGTGACTGCTCCTCAGCCGCAGCTCCCATAAGGGGGACAAGGCAGGCAAGAAAGAGAAAGAGCACGCCTGGAACCCGGTTTTATTGGGAAGAAGCCATTCAAATGAGGCAAGGGGTCAGGTTTCAGGGGGGTTGAATCTAGTTCCGTGATGTCTTTCTGTCTGCAGGTTGACTGACATCTTAGAAGGTCACACCCATCTCATGTGCTCTGCGATGATTAAAGGCAGAGCGAGCGAAAGGGGCACATACATGCACAGCCCAGACAGAGCTGCATGGTCAGTCCAGTCTGCTCCGTGCGCTCAAGATGCTCACAGCTCACACTCAGCCCAGGGCTGGCTCGCCACATCTCCACATTCCCATCGCTCAAAGCTAGGGGAGCACTCAGGTCCTATGTGGCAGCTCCCCACAATTGTAGGCTTCTTTTTCTCATCTTTTCTTCTGTGGGCTGGGGTTGGAGCAACCAGCAAAGCAGGGAGACTCTGCTTTCATGAAATTTATGTTTTGGGGAGGGGAGACAGTAAATGTGTACAATGTCAAGTGGTGATCGTGACAAATGTTTATCATTTTTTAAAAAATGATAATGGATCTCTGAAGAACTCTACTGGAGCAGAGACTGAAGTGAGGAAATGACCCATGTGGACACTTGGCCAAGGAGATTTCCAAACAGAGAGAATGTATGCAAATGCCCTTAGATGAGAACCTCAGGTCTTTGAGAAGCAGCAGAGAGACAGATGTGGCTAGAGAGATGTAGGGGAAGATAAAGGGGGTAGGAAAGGATGTCTGAAAGGGCCTTGTGGGGCTGGTAAGGACCTGGGTTTTTCTCCAGAGAACTGGGGAGCCAGAGGAAGTTTTTGAGCAGAGGAGTCACAGGATCTGACCTAAGAGGTTTCTTTGTAGAGAAAATTCTGTAAGTGAATATCCACGTGAGAAAAGAGAGTGGTTTGAATTGGGGTGCTGGTGGAGTAGGTGGGGGAAAGGGGTCAGATTCTGAAAACATGTCAAAAGTAGAGGCAATGGGATTTATTGATGGGTTAGATGGGTGGGGGGAGGTACAGAGTGACTCCAGGACTTTGGAGAATGGAGTTTTTATTTACTAGGGTAGAGAAGTCTGACAGGATGCTGGTTTGGGAAAGAAAATCAGAAACTAAATGCTGAGCAGGTTAAGTGTGAGAAGCCCACTGGATGTTCACCTAGCAGAGGGGCAGGCCATTGTAACCATCTGTATTTTAAGAAAGAGGTCGGAACTGCAGACACAAACATGGCCATCATCAGCACAGAGATAGGGCTTATAGCCAGGTGACCAGGCAAAATCATCTAGGGCTTCAGTGTAGCTCTCTCCTTCACATGGGTGTGAAGGTCAAAGAGATAGCATATGGAAGGCACTTTGGTCAACTCTCAAGTGCTCCACGCATGGAAAGGACTAAATGCATAAATAAGGCAAAGAGTGTCATGGAGAGCAAGATTTAAAGAAGTATCTGCCTGTAGAGTCAGAATCATAGAATGCTTGTTGTTTAATCCCTTTCATTTTATCCATGAGGAACCAAGGTTGGAGAGGCTAAGAGGTTTGTTCAAGGTCACTGACCGCTGCTTGGTAGCTCAGCTATCCCAGAAGGAGAAGCCCTAACCGCTGGTGCAGGACTCCTTTGGCCACACCACATACCTGCTCACGTTCACTGCTTCATCTCTCTCTGAATCTGTTAACCAGGGCCAAGTCATTCTTCAAACAGAAATCTAATTATATCGCCTTGTGCTTTTACACATGCTATTTCCTCTGCCTGGAATACTCTGCTTCCTCCCACTTCTCTGTCTGGCAAATTCCTGCCCCATCTTTCATTCCCGGCTAGAATAGCCCTTTCCAGTGAAGACTTCCCTACCCTGCCAGCCAGTCACTGGCCTTCCCTGTGCCCACAGGGTGCCCATCCTGTGGTGGTCCTTCCACTCGCCGTGGTTCTGTCTGCCTTCCCTGCCTGCCTGTGGGGCCCTTCCTATGACCTCTCCACCTAGCATGGTGAATGGCACTCAACTGTTCGTGAAGGAAGGAAGGAAGGTCCCTCACATTAGTTGGGGACAATGGCAAAGTTGTCATTCAGTGACACTTGAGTTCCTCTGACCTGAGAATGCTTTTGGGTCACAAAGTGACAATGACTTCTAGGGTGGGAATTTGCTTTTTTTTTTTTTTGCCATCCCCAGGCACAATGAGCAGGCATTCTGGGACCAGGAAACTATTTGGACATTATAAGCGATTGCTGCCTTTTTGTTTTCAGTTCTCTATCAGCATACGACCAGCTGTTGTTTGCCTTTTGCTGCAAGGCAAGATTTGTGCTTGTGTCTGGGCTATGCACAGGCATGTGTATACACACACACACACACACACACACAGAAACACTGATGTCTCCTCAGAGAGGCTGCACTCTTGTTTTACAGAGTAGCTTGATCACCCTGAAAACTCCCTTGGGTGGGAGGGGGGAGACAGCTTGGCCCCCCGTGGATTTGAAAATTTGTACTACTTAACCCCTTGGAAATTTAGTTCAAGGTAAGTTTGAAATTTCTAGGTCAAGAGTGAATTCTAAGAAGTCCATCCCACCTTCTGTATTCCCTACTTTTTAGCTTGTTTGTTTTAGATAATTCTGTATTAATTACTATATTTACATTCTGTTTAATTAACAGTGTTTGGGGAGGAGGAGAATTGCTTCTAATAGCAGTAATTATTGTACAGGTTATTGCAAGGTCTAAAGAAGGTGGCAGAAGCTGCTGGTGAAGGGATCAATGCTCTGAACTCTGTTTCAAGTAAATGATTCAGAGATTCTAACCAGACTGGTTTTGCCAAATGCCAGGGGATGCCTGGAGGAGGTGGTAAGCCAGACTCAAGAGAAAATGTCCCTTCCTGAGTTCTCTTGTATTGAGAGCCCTTGAGTAATCACTGTTAATCAATACAATACAGTAGGATGCAATTAGGATTAATTAGCCCAGTGTTGCAAGCTGCCCAGCTCCTCAGTCTGTGTCTCTCTGAATGTCTCCTCTTCTTGGCTCCTACTTTCCTTCAAAAAGAAGTTTTCCTTCCCAGAGTTCCCAGGACCAGTGTCCTCTCTTCCAGTGCTAAGGTCCTTCCCCTCACTCATTTGTAAGGTGGTGAGGGACAGTCAGGAAAGGGCACAAAGTGATGGTGGAAAGGGAAAGGAGAGAAAATAATGGAAACATGGTGGGAAGAGAGAAGGATGGTGAGAGACTGTGTGGAGGATGGAGGAAATTTTGAATGCCTTTCAAGAGAGCGCTGCAGCAGCGGACAGAATCACCCAGAAGGCATTTGTCTACTCTCCCAACAAGAGAAGGCTCATTCCCTGTCTCTGCAATATAAGGAATACTGTCATGTTTTGGTTTTAATTAAAAGGTATCTCTATATTACATACATTTCTATATTTGCAGTGGCAAAAACAATCCTCGTGGTCTTTAGGTAATGGGGATAGGTGAGTGCCTGCTGGGGGGCCAGCACTCACAGTTTGAAAGGGGTTCAGAGTGGGCATCAGGAGACCTGCCCATCCTAGCCTGGGATTCTGAAGAATCCAGAGCTTCTGTTCTCCAGATCTCTATGTCCTTGTCTGTACCATGATAAGTTTAGCCTCCATCCTGTGCATTGATTGTTCCAAGTTGATTTCTGCACCAATATTAGATGCATGGGCTCCAGGACATGCTCCTTTCCTTCCTTTTTTCTTCTTCTCTGCCCCTCTCTCTTTCTGATCAGAATGGGTTTTACATTTGTGAATTCCTGTCCATTCTGCACATTATGAGTTTCAGCATTTCCGTTGCCCTAGAAAGTCTTTATGTCTGAGATATTACACTGTTTCTCTTTTTACAGAGCCTTACAAATGCCTTTCTTGGATTCTGAGCACAGCCTTTCTGTCCTATCATTCTGGCCAAACTACTCCTTGTCTTGGTTGGGAGTTGGCAGAGAGGGGTTTCTTTCCCTGGGGCTCTTACTGTTTCCATTCTTCTGCTTTATCTGGGATTTCCATTACTCAGAATTTTGTTAAGTAAAATGCTTCTTCTGGACCTTGTTCTAATTCTCTAATTTCTAGAAAACTCTAGAAAGTCTCCTAGTGTTTTCCTTCCTCCAGCTTATTTATTTTTATTTCACAGTTCTCTTTGATTATCTTTTAGACTCACACTTCTGATTTTAGTATTTCAGATCCTTTGTTTTTTCTCTTCATTTTCTTAGGTCACCTTTTTTAAAATTTTAAAATACCTTTTTTGTTCAGCAGAGGGCTCCCTTCCCGTCGCTCCTGCAGCCCGGGCAGCTAGGATTTGAAGCTTGCTCCTTAGGACTTAGCCTCCCGCCTCCTAGCCATCAGAAACACTAGATCACTTAAACTTGTAAACAATTCCTCCTCGCTCGGTGTGATTGCGCTAAAGCTTCCCACCTCGGCTGACAATACTCCATCGCCTCCGCCGATCGCTCATCCCTTGGGTGCCCTCCCAATGTTCCTAACGTTATTTTACTTCCTGGATCCCCTGCTTGTTCTTCACCATTGTGTAGGGTGCATACCACCAACCCCGATTTACAACCGAGGAAACTGAGGCTTGGAGAGATTCTCTCAAGGTCGTACGCCTTGCAAGGTTAACCAGCATCCGCCCAGTTCAGGCTTTCCAGTCCAGTCCAGCAGTTTAAAACGCACCTCCCTCATTTTGTACGCGGTTTCTTCCTCCTTCGAATCCACAGGCAGGAAGATCGTTCTCTAGCTAATAGGGCTAGGAAATTGGGGAGCACGGGGTTACCGTGTGTGTACAAGGCGGGGGGAGAGCTTGTCTCTCAGGCCCAAGAGTTGGGGTGGGGAGGCCGCGCTGACGCTCTATGAGGAAGCCAGGTTCGAGATCAGAGAGACCAAAGGCGCCAAGGCGGGATGTAGCAAAAGGTGCTGGGGGAGGACCTTGGTCTGGGACTAAGGATGCAGACCGGGGAGGAGAGGCTTCTGTCCACCCTCCTGGTCGCACACACTTGACAGGTCAGGGGCAGGGATCCGGGCTAGGGGACATGGGGACACAGGGCGCCCCCTTGCGCTCTCCCTTGCGCCTCAGGGCTGGCGGGTGAAGCGCCAGCCGCCGCAGGTCCTCTACAACCCCCTCCTCCTTTTCTCCCCTCCTTCACTCCCCTCGCTCCCAACTCCTCCCCCACCGCCTCTCCCTCCCTCCTTCTGCTCCCTAGATCTCCTCCTCCCTGCTCTCTCCGGCGCGCCGGGTCTGGAGCTAGTTGGAGCGCGGGGGTTGGTGCCAGAGCCCAGCTCCGCGGAGCCGGGCGGGTCGGCCGCGCATCCAGCGGTTGCTGGAGGAGTCCAAGCGCAGCGGGCGCGGCCCGGGTCCGGACTGCACCGGAGCGCTGAACCAAGGGCCAGGGACCCTTCCTGCGCGGCCGCCCCATTCCCAGACGGGCCGCCAGCCCTCCGGCTCGCCGCCACCTCTCGGAGCAATCAGGACCAGAGAACCGCGGGGAATCCAGCACCTGCGCGTGCAGCCAGGAGGTGAGTCCCTGGAGCCCTGGGCGCTTTCTCCGCACGGGCTGGGGCTGCAAGTTGCAAACTTCAGCAACTCGGGTGGGTAGAGGAGTGGGACCGAGGGGCGCTGGCAAGTTGGAGGCAGATGGGGGAGGGTGCAGCGGAGGACAGGGGTCCACCGGATTCCGCGTCGCGGGCTGCTATCTCGGCTCGGGCTCCCTCAGCGATGCTGCGTTCCTGCCTCCCACCGGCTCCGCGTCCCCATTCCACTGGGCCCTCTTTGAGCTGCAATCGGTGCGTCTGGGCTGCCGCCGCGTTGGGGGCCCGGGCCTGGAGGAGGGGACCGACCAGTGCAAGGCTGGGAGGGAGCCGGGCAGAGACGCTGAGACTGGCGCGGAGATGGAGGCTCTGAGAAGGCTGGCGAGTAAATGTGGTGGAGGGAGAGTGCGGGCGGCGAGGCGCGTGGGAACGCGTGGCCCGCCCAGGGTGTGAAAGCTCCCGCTCCGGGACGTCTCCGTTCCCCAGCCGCGGCAGAGAGTGGGGGCCCCCACGCGATTCTTCTCAGGCCCCCTTTAGGACACCCCAGCCCTGACTGGGCCCCAGGGAGCCCAAACTCTGCCCGCCAGGCCTTAGATGGAGGGTTCCGGGGGCCCTTCGCTCCCGCCTGGGCGGGTGGAGAGGGGTGGAGAGGGGTGCGGCGGCGGGAACCTGGGACGCCAACGGCGATTTCCCGATTTATTTTTCTCATGGTAATTTGTCTTTGTGGTTGGGGCTGCCCATTCACTTTCCGCTCACGTCGTGCCGGAGATCCAGAGCGGAGGGAGGGAGCGGGGGGCGCTCGGGCACAGGGAGGGATGGAGACTAGAGAGGGGATCTGGGACCCGAGCTGGGAGGGCGGGAGCGGAGAGGGAAGTGGTCGTTCGAACCGCGGAGGAAGAAGGCGAGGCTTGAGAGGACCGGCCACAAACTTTAAACAACCAGGAGGACCACCTGAAGCGCCATTCTTCCCACCTTCTTCTCTCCCTACCAGGTCTTTGGGTCATTTCTCTTCGTCGCGCCGGTCAGGAGTGGGCCCCGAGTCTGGATGAGGATAGGTGACCGTGTGGTCCTCTCCAGGCTTCCCGTGGGGAGTGGGGTGAAGGCAGGCGGAGCGCAGAAGGGGCAGCCCACCCGCAGGATGCCCTCCTTTCCGACCAACCAAATGGGATTGGAGGTTGGAGGCTTGCCTAAACCCCACCACAATCCCACGTACTCTGACCCCAATCCCATCTTTCCCCTCCAAACCCTAGCTAATCCAGCCTCTTTTCATGTTTCTCAGCCCCTACTGCTTCCCATTTGGGCCTCATTCTGCTCCTCATTCTGTCGTGTTGGCTCCATGGCCCTCTCCACTGCCCTCCCAGACCCCACTTCCTCTCATCTTTTAGCCTATCCCCATTTAGTCTTCTCTGTTACCCTCCCTGCCTTTCTTCTTGACATTTAGAAGTGGCCTCTCACCTTTTCTGAGCGGGGATAGATGACCTTGAGGAAGGGGCAGAGGGGAACTTGAGCCCAAGAACTGGACCTCATAACTAGGAAAAAAAGAAACAGCATTGAACAACCCCCCCCCCCATCTAGGTTCCCAGGAGGAGGTGGGAGGATAAGATATCAAGGAGAGAGAGGGAACTTGCCATTGAGTCACTCATAGGGCAGTGTAAAGCACTGAAAACAGGTCTGGGTCTTGGGGGAGGGACTCAGGAGGTGGGACTGCCTCTTCTTTTTGCCAGGTGGGGAAATAAGGAAAGGTGTGTATATGGGGGCTGTGAGTGTGTGAGTGTGTATGTGGGGGGGCAGCTCCTTTCTACATATCAACAACTAATACCACCAATTTCAGAAGGAATGGAGGATCTTCCATCTTTTCCCTTTCTGGGAATGAATGCTAGAGCCTTCCTCCTCCACAACTGAAAATGGCCACTATTGTCACTGTGGACCTCAAGCATTTTTTAAGCAAGTTACTGTGTGCAATGCACCATTTTAGGAGCTGGTAGATACAAAGAGGTACAGGGCTGAGCCCCTGCCCATCAAGCTTCCTAATTTATCAGTTTGATCCCATGATGCATGTGTGTGCTTGGGGAGGAGAAGGTGGACATGGGCAGTGCAAGGTAGCTAGGCTTGTTGCCAAATGGTGACCTTAGGAGGACTTAGGAGAGGACTGGCTAAAGAAAGCTTCATGACTCAGGTGGGACAGAGCTGAGCTTGCTGGCTGTGTCCTGAGGGAGAGGAGCCGGAACCCTCCTCCCACCACTGTCTGTACAGGGAGGGTGAGACAGCAGAAGGGCTGGATGAGGAGCAGTTCCCACATCACTAGAGGCAGACTAGAAAGGCAGAGGAGACCAGAGGTCCAGCCTGCCTCCATGGGTTGCCACCTCTCCATTGGGATTGTGGGAACTCCAGCAGCTTCCCTGTCATAGGGTGAACCTCCTGGCTTGTTTGAAACCTTTCCATTAGTCACTTCTTATGAGACTTAAAGCTGGAGGAAGGCTTGGAGATTGTCCATGTCAAGGGAATGGCAAACTCAGATCTAGAGTGCAGGCAGATAACAGTGTGTTGATCAGGGAATCAGAGGAGCTTGGTATTCAAAGTCAATGAGTGTTCAGAGTCAGTCTGGACAAATGAAATGATCTGAACAAAACCAATTTATAGCCCTTGAATAGTCCCTGTATCTATAATCAAGAAATTAAGATTCTAATATGTGAATGATCTATTTTGTATCTGTATTTTATACATATATTTACTTGTACTTTGGGGATTGATTGGAATATCCTCATTCTGGTCCTGCCTCTCGCCTATTGGATCCCTCTGCTGATTCTCACCCTCAAGGCCCACCAGGATTCTTCTGAGAGATGATAATTTCCTGAGTTCAGGGAGCCGTCTTGTACAAATCTGAGCATTTCACATCCACTGATACAGGGTTCCAGAGATAGAGCCAAGACTGGAACTCAGGTCTTCTGTCCACTTTCCCACTAGGAATTCAGTGATACCAACCAATCTTATTCTTCACAGAAAGGAAGAAATCCAACTGAATTTCTGTTTCCCCTAATGTAGCAAACCTTATTCAGGGGTTGGATGAGAAAAGACTGGAAGATCCCATTGGTTGTTCAGGGATCCCAAGGAACATCCAGAAATCCCTGAGTCCTGACTGTGGGTCTAAAAAGGGAAGGGAATCCCCAGGAAGGGGATAGAGAATTGGCAAACATGATGGAAGCTCAGCTTAATAGGGATGAATGTTGCTAGATGGAGTATGTCCATTTGGGAAGAAGATGCTATTGGGTCTAATTATTTGGAACATTGACCATGACACATTTGTCCTTAGAGTTGGTTACCCTCCCATATCCCACAAAGAAAGTCAATGAGACAGAAACCTAGATCACTATGAATTAATCAACCAATTCACTACTTTCGTTGAGATTTGAGATGGTAAAGGGGACACAGAAGGCAAAAGGACAAGAACCCTGGGAGAAGTGCAGGTTACTTTGTTATATTGCCATAGAGGACTCAGGACTGTGTTCTGGTGCACTCTCCCCACCCTGCCGTGGAAGCCAGATGTTCCCCATGATCCTCAAGTGTTGGTTTTGTCATTGCCTGGATAATACATGGTAGATGAGCCCAATGGTGGCAATATAGTCACATACATGTTCTTTATTTACTGAGTACCTACTATGTGAAAGACACTGCGCTAGGAGCTGTGAAACAATAGTAAGCAAAGCATGTCTCTGATCTTCCTATGTGAAGGTCAATTAGCCAGACTAGGAGGACATACTTACTAACATTGCCTCGATATCTGTGATGGAATTTGTGTGTGTGTGTGTGTGTGTGTGCTTTCCGTGTGGATTTGTGTGAGTGATCTGATAGCTAATGTGGTCTTATCCAAAGCACTTGTGGTCTGGGTGTAGGACTGAGAAAGCTAGGATCCAATTTCCAAATTTGTTGGTTCCTAAGTTCCAAATTTCCTTTCCATGCTTCAGCTTTCACACTGTGAAGGGGCTGAACATCTCCCTGATACCTTTTTTTTTTTTTGTGTGTGTGTGTGTGGTGCTGGGGATTGAACCCAGGGTCTTTGTATGTGAGGTAAGCACTCTACCAACTGAGCCATTTTATGGCCCCAACCTCCCTCATACCTATGTTGTAGACAAAGGTAAAGCCAGGCATCTGGAGGTCTGGGGATGACAACTATTGGGAGGAAGTATTGGTATATACCTCATGGTCTGAACTCAGTGGGTCCTGAGACCATCTTTTACCTTATACGATTACCTTGATCACTTGCCTGTCTTCATTTCTCTATGAAGGAGTGGCATATGTGTTAGATTTAGTTACTTGTACTGAGTGAATTTTCTGTAATTTTAGATATTTGAGTTTAGCCATCACTAAGTTGGTCTTAAATTTATGACAGTACTTAATTAACTTGGTCTTAAATGTATGACAAGAGACAAGGCAAGTGTCTTGACTTGTCCAATCTGAGCCTTCTTTTGTAGCTTGTATGTGCAGTACCTGGATTTCACTGACATTATGCTCTCCTCTTCAGATCTCCCTCTCTATGGCTTTGCTTTAAAGACATCTGCTTAGCTGTGGAATTGATTCTCTAATGAGCGATCTGGAAAGGAATCGTGTATGCCACCCTGTATCTCAGACAGTCTCCTCCAAGACTCTCCTTCTGAGGAATTCTTCTTCTAACTGGCTTGAAGGCTAGAAAGTGGCAGGAAGAACTTTCAGTTAAAGCAGAGTTTTGAAAGGAAAGGGAGGGGAGGGAGCCAAGTGTTCTGTGGCTCTGCCATGCCACTTTCCTTCTTCTCTTCTGTTTTAGTATTTTGCTTTCCTGGGCATGAACGATGCAAACCAAGTCTTGCAGGATGCATGCTTTTATCCTGATATGAGTGTGTGTGTGTGTGTGTCTGTGTGTGCGCGTGCGCGTGTTTGTGTATGTGTTGCACTGATAAAAAATTACTAGACTTTTTTTAGAGTGGAAAAAAAAGAGAGAAGATGATTTTCTGTCC